AGCCCCCCGGCCCCCTCGGACTCCAGCCATGGCGAAGCAGTACGACGTGCTGTTCCGGCTGCTGCTGATCGGGGACTCCGGGGTGGGCAAGACCTGCTTGCTCTGTCGCTTCACCGACAACGAGTTCCACTCCTCGCACATCTCCACCATCGGTAAGGGGCGGTGGCCCGGGGGGCGCCCCCCCCTTTACCCCAGCTCGCGCCCCTAGTGCTGGAGGCGGTGGCACGCGAAGTCGGGGCGAAGGAACGAACCCGGGTCGGGGGTCGGGGGAGTGGCCACCATCAGGGGACCTGAGCCCGGGTTCCTGCAGGTGAGGGGGCCCTGACGTCTGCCTGGGGTGGGGTTTCCGGCCTCGGGCTGGGGAGCCTTCCCATCCAAGCCTAGAAAACACAGCGCAAGGTGGGTGTAGGCCGGAGCACCCTAAGCTGGGGCAGTGAAAATCGTAGCCCTTCAAGGGACATCATTGTAGTCCTTAATAAAAAGGGGCGAGGAAAGGTCAGGATGGGTGGGGGGTGCAGTCACTAGGTCACTGAGATCCCCTGAGTTCTAGGGTGGCCTGGTGTGAAGCCAAGATGGGGAAGAAGGGTGGAAGAGGTTGGCCAAATGGATTGAGTGTCCAGGACACAGTTGTGAAGGCAAGTCACCAGGTGGGACACCTGGAGAAGGGCATGGATACCTGGAGGTCCGGGAGGGAAGGATCAGACTGGAGGAGGAAGGCTTGGAATACTCACGAAGAGAAAGACTAGGGGCTCAGAAGGCAACGGAGGGCCCGCTTTAGACTCTAGTCGGGGGGCGGGAGTACGGGAGCCTGCGGTTGGAGGAACAAGGCCTAGTGGCATTCTGGGCAAGTTTTGCTTACTCTTCCTGGAATTGGTCTGTAGTCTTCCTTCTGAGAGTATTCCCAGAAGGTCCCTCACTGGTTCTATAGAACCCCTCCACTGGGTGCCTAAGTTGAGGGAATTCCACCCATGCCCACAGGTTCCATTCATTCTTGGTCAGTCTCTCCCGGAGCAGCGTCCTCACTACCCAGGCTGCTTGGAGAAAGGCGGCTGGCAGCTGGTCATCCCATTGGAATGCTGGCCTAGTAGCCCCCTGGGGCTTTCGGGGAGGGACCTTGCTCTCAGCTTCTTCTGGAGGATTCTCTCCAATCCCACAGCCTCCTCCTCCAACACACATTCTTTTGACAAGAGAGGAGAGTGGCTACATGCAGCCTGGAGGTTAAGAGGCAGGCATTATTGTTGGACATACCTGGAGACCTCACTTTGGGGCAACATGGTCTTGCTGGTCACTTAAGCTTCTGAGTTTCAGTTTCTCACCTGTAGCATGGATCTAATAGTGATATAACCCCCAGGTGTTATAAGGATTAAATGAGAGTATGGAAAGTATTCAACGGGAGTGGGAACGCTGGTTATTTTTGCTGTGGTGTTATCATCATGGAGCTGGGGGAAGGGTGCTCTTCCTCTTTATGGGGATCCCTAGCTTTAAGGGATTTAGGGTCAGGGAACAGAGCTTGTTCATGTTGCTCTGGGGAGCTTTAAGGCCAGCTCTTAAGAGATCCAGGAGCTTGGACTGGGCTGCTGTTTGGATGAGAGACATGTCAGCAATATGGAAAGGGACAGACACTGAGCCATGGCTGAGAGGGCTGCCTGCCTCTCAGGAGGGCTTGGGAAAGAGTCAGGTGTTGGGGAAAGGCTTGGGAGTGAGCCAGGGAGTGGCTGAGGAGCCAGGTGGGGTATGAGACTAGCTTGGGGACAAAGGGCAGAAGGTTACCACTTCACAGAAACTTGAAGTGGCTATTTTTGACATGGGCCTGATGCCAAGAGCTGTGGAGCTTTCTGCAGAGAGCTGGGGGTGCCAAAATTTTGCCTGAAGAGCAGTCGTGTGTACCCTGGTGTCCTGGCCACACTCCAAGTTCTAGGAATGACCTGGACTTTGCCCATTGAAGACTTTACTTTTCCCATCATTTCAGAAGTTCTTGAGACTCTTGCTTAGTTGAAGGGAATTAGCCCCCCAGGGGGAGAGACCCTATTTCTAAAATACTAGGATGGCCTTGATGAAACTATGCTTTCTTCAAAACATGATCATCCCTTACCCTCACATCTGTAATCACCACCCTTGCCTCTTCATCTTGTTTTATTCCCTTTTCCTGCTACACAGACCACAGAGGCTTCCTCAGACACCCTCCAGGGTTGACCCCTTAGAGGGTAAAGGTGAATTAGTGAGCTGGTACTTGTCTCTGTAACACTGTTTCTCTGCCAAGGCCATTGGTTTATCTGTTTTCAAAGATGGCTAAGTCTCCCTTTGCATAGGCAGCAAAGACTCCTTGGGAGTTTGGATCCCATGGAAGAGAAACCACCTTTCTTCACACCAGGCCTTTGTTCAATCTGTCCCCATGGATTTGTTTCCTAAATACTTCCTTATGTAAAGCTTACAATGGCATGTGATTCTCCCTACACTGTTTTCAGCATTAACTAAAACTGAAGGGCAAGAGTTGGATGGTGAAGAGAAGCTTTTTTCCTTAGGTGATTTGGGAAGCTTTCCAAGGAAGGGGCAGCCAAGAGACAAACCAGGGAGCCAAGGAAATGGGGGTTACCAGGTCAGATTTATTAATTTATTCATTTAAAAATGTGTGCTCTGTATGCTAAACTTGGGAGAGTCCCAGAGGAATAATAATACACAGAGTCACCACTCTCAAGCTGGGCCCAAACATTCTTTTGCCATGCTGACCATCAAGTGAGGTATTTATTTATTTATTTATTCATTCATGTGAATGGGGAAAACAAGGCAATTCACCAATTATTGTCAGATTCTTGGCCCACACTGACTCTTTGTGACTCAGTGTGTATAATGCTTACTATGAGAGCTTGTGACACTCCATGAAAGAGCCTGCCAGGGAACAATGAGACCTCCCAGGTAGACTGAGGCACTGGTCGCCCCTCCCTCCATCTTTCTTATCTCTTTGGCTAGCTAGCAGGCAGGTGACCTTGCAGCTAGGTTGGTACCACCAGCAGATGGAGGTTGTACAGAGTGGGACAGTCAGAGCCTCAGTGTTCTCTGCCTACACAATTTCCTGACAAGACCATCTCATCTGTTAACATAATTGGACATCCTTATGTTAGGTTTTTAAAAAGAGGTGGCCGAGTAAGAACTGCACCAGCACGCACGTGGTATTCAGGTAAGGGGTAGGTTTATTCAGTAGACGTGCTGAGACCAGGCAAGGTTGGCACTCCACGTGGCTGGGGAAGGCCTGGGAATGAGAGAGAGCTGGGAAGAGAGGAAAGAGAGAGAAAAGAGCCAGAAAAGAGCAGAGAGAGGGGTAAGAACAGTAGCACTCACGTGGTATTCAGGTAAGGGGTAGACCTGCTGGGACCAGGCAAGGTTGGCACTCCACGTGGCTGGGAAAGAGAGAGAGCAAGAAAAGAACAGAGAGAGAGCTAGAATAGGACAGAGAGAGCAAGAAAAGAGCAGCAAGAGCAAGAGCAAGAGCAAGCGAGCAGAAAAGAAGAGCAAGAGCAAGGGAGGAAGAGAGGGTCTGGGCCTGGGCTAGGCCTTATGTAGGGTATGGGCGGGGAAAGGTGTGGCCACATCAAATTCAGATATGACCTCAGCGGATGCAGATGTGACCTCTTCCAGGTGTCCCAGTTGCCTAGGTAATGCAGGTAATGGGTGGAGACTTTGCTGCGAGGAGGGTGGAGTCTGCTAGCCATCTAGGAGCGGACCTTACACCTTACAAAGTACCATGCCAGGAATTTTAGAGACATATATCATCACAGTGCACCTTTTCCTGCCCACAAGCCTATAATGTCATTGAGGAAGGAAGACATAAAAGACCTACTGCCTAAATGAGATAATATATCTGTATGTACTTACAAAGGAAGCACCGTGCAAATGTAAGGCACTGACTATGATCCTATCACTACCCTTAATGAAGGTCTCCCAGTGCTTATCCATGTAAGATGGATCCTAGAGGTAGCCAGTGAATGGCCAATGGCCTGTTGAGTGCATCACTGAGGGAGACTGAGGGGAAGGCTCCCCATCTAAACAGATGGGGAGAAATTGTCCTTACCAGGCCATCTACCTTCAGGAGCTCTTTGACAACCTTTCTGCATGGTAGCCAGGACTAGGATGTAAGCCACTAATAGAAAAACCACAGGGAAGGCTAAAGCCGGGTCTTTCTGTGTGGGCTGCCTGTGGGTTGGTTCCTACAGTAGAAGGGAGCAGATGGAACAACGTGAGCTGAGCAGAGAGATAACAGAGGTGCGAAGTGAGTGGGTGTCCATGATACACTGGGGGCAGTCTGACTGCAGCAGTAGGGAGTTGGCTTTTTTTTTTTTTTTAAAGCAAGAGAGAACATTCTTCTGTTTTTCTGTCTCCCAAACTATAAATGCTTTATGGGTGAGATCCAATCATATGTTTCTTTGTTTTCATAGGACCCAGTACAGAGCTAGGCACCATCATAATGCATAGTAAATTATTAATGACAAGATGCTAGAGCCACTTGGAAGAGAGCATCAAAGGCCTGGCTGGGGGAGGCGGGGCTTGAAGAGTGGGGTGAGATGAAGCTGGGGGTTCATTCATTTGGAGCCGTGGTGTTATTTGGGTTCTCAGGGCCCGTCTTCTCAATGGTGGCTCTTCACCTGCCTGGCTTTCCCTCCAAATGTGGGGAATAGGTCAAACCAGTCAACCTGGCACTTCTAAAAGGATCTCCTATGTTGTCTGCTCAGACAAGAAGAAAACACCCTACGTAGGCAACTATATCCAAGGGCCTTTAATGCCCTTCCTTCATGGTGGCCAGAGCTGGGAAATAAGCCACTGATACAAATTGAGGAGACTGCCTAGGGCATGTTTTTCTCCCTCCCAGTCCTTGGTCTGGGACTAGACAGTCTACCTGGTCTCTGGGCCTTTTGTTTGAAAAGCTACCCCTAGGCTGCTCCTTCTCTCTCTCTCTCTTTTGGGGAGGAGGAGGCTGTGACCAGTGATTTTCCAGTTGGACTGGTTGGGCTGCTGTGGCTTCAGGCTGCTTTCCCAGGCTGGGTTGCTGCTGCTGTCACCTTTCTCAGAAAAGTTCTGCTGGAACTGCCTCAAACAGCCTAGGGCAGGGTCTTGTGGTGACCCAGGGCCAGGGTTAGACCTGAGCCTGGAATGAAGTGGC